CTACGTAAGGCATGACGTCCTCACGTCGGGAGCGGGATAGGTTAGCCCTGCTCTTGTGGTAATGCACGGGTTGGGGAGCGAGGGAGGCGGGGGCGACTGGCAGCAAAAGCTAAAAATAACGGCGATTGTATATATACACACAAACACACACACGTATATATGTGTATATATATATACACACATATACATATGTACATATATATGTGTATATATATGTGTGTAGTATATATATGTGTGCATATATATGCATATATATGTATATATATGTATATATACACACACACACGTACATATATATTTAAAAAATTCTGGTGAACTCCGCTGTGTGTAGCCCCACAAGGGTAGCGAGAGGCAGGGCCGGGGGGGGGCAATGAGAATCCCCCAGGGTCCCCCTATCCCCTTTCCTCTCCTCCTTCCCATCCCGCACGTTTTGGGGCAGGATTCTGACCGGGGCCGAGGATGGGGGTTCTCCTGCCTCCCCCCCCGGCTTCGCCCCCGCAGTGGTCGCTGCGGGAAAGAGGACGCGGGGACCGGACTCCGCACCGGGACAGAGGGGACACGGCGTGTCTGAGCCCATAGAGGCACCTGGGCCAGATTTTCCCCTAGAAAAATCCCGTGGAAATTCAGTAGAAATCCGTCCTTTTGCCATTAATAATATTAATAATATTAATAATACTAATATTAACAATAATCAGGTCCCAAAGCTCTATGCTGTTAATAGCTCTCCGCTCTGGAGCGGAGTGTGACCGCTGCTCCCGGCGCACCGGGATTTTCGTAGTACTTTAAAAATCGGTGTCCATAAATCCGACAAGAAGCAGAGCCGAGGCGGGGATGGGAGCTGCTCCCGAAATCCGGTCTGGGGACGCGGCGGGGGACACAATGGGACTGCAAAACCCAGTTTGCAAAACGACTCGGGGAGCGATCCGGGCTCCGGAGCTCCCTTCCCGGTCCGACGGCCCCCGAATTTGTTCCCTGGGCCCGGTGCTACCGGGGAGCTCTGCCGCGCTCCCGGCTCGCCCCTAATGAGCGCCGCTTATGAATTTTTACCTCAACGAAAGGGGCCGGGACCGGCGGGTCGCGCTGCCCCGGGCTCCCGCCGCCCGCCCCGTCTCATTGCGGCTTCTCACGGGGCCGTCACCCCCCGCTCCCGGCTTGTCCGGGCTCCCGCCGCCGGGAAGGCGGCTCCCTCGGCGGCTCCTCCAGCCCCAGCTACCGAGCACCCCCCGGCCCGGTGCCCCTCGGCGAGGAAAGCGGCAGTTTGGGGCTTCCTGATAACGTTTTGATCAAAAATGCATTAGGAGACGYGCACTGCGCAACGCCATGAATATTTTAGGGCTTTTGCAAAACAACAAGGAGGGTATTTGTGACAGGAGAGGGGCCCGAAGCCACAGGGGCGGCCCTGGCCCCGGCATCCTCGCCCTGCAAGCGCRAAGTGGGCTATGTCACCCCCTTGTCCCCTGTCCCTTTGGGGCCAGTCCCTGTCTCGCTGCCTGCCCTAATTCCCCATAATTCGTCACCAGCTTGAGGTTCATTTGCTCCTCATTAGAAATCATTAAACAGCTCCACAAAACTCGGGAGCTGGGACAGGCCTGGCACCAGGAGGGAACCAGTCTGTCCCACTGGGTCATGGCTGCGCCATCCAGAGCAACCCCACCATGGGGAGCAACCCCACCATGGGGACACAGAGCACCAAACAATCCTGGTGTCCCCCAGCAGTGTCACAACCCCTGGGAGAGGAAAGAGCAAGTCAAAGCAGCCTTCTCCAGCACCCAACCACCTGGAATCCAACGTGGATGCGGGGCAGGGAGAGCGATGCCAAACCAGACCCATCCCCATTGCCCCAGCACAGGAGGTGCCCTGGCTGTGCCACCACGGAGCAAACACTGTCCCCAGGGCTCCCTTGCCCTCGAAGTGCCCGGTGCTGGCTCCGTGCCGCGGGGTTACCATAGCAAAGCTGAATCTTACCAACAAAACGAGGAGCAGAGCCTGATTAGCATATATTCAAATGAACCATGCGATAAGGCAAGCTGTAAATCATAGTCACTGCCGCCCAATCGGTGCCTCTGTCCCCAGCCCCTACATTTTCTCTGGGTGTCCCTGCTCCTCTTTGCATTCAGAAACCCCTTTCCAGATGGAAAACCACCCTAAGGCAGCCCATGGACCCTCCCAGGAGCAAAATAGCCCAGGGTGTGAGGCCACATTCCCACTGCCCGGCAAGAACCTGGGCTGCAGGCACCTGAGCCTCCACCACCCTGGGCCTCCCTCTGCAGCCCTGCCGGTGTCCCCAGGCCTTGGGGTGACCGGATTCCCTGCTCCGAGCACCCCGAGCAGCACCCAGCACTGGGCTCCTCCGGAGGGACGAGGCCAACCCCAACCTGGCTGGTAGCCCCATTCCAGGCTCCATGGAGCCTGCACAGACTCCTCCCRGCATTACCTGCCTTGCCATGTTTTACTCCCGAGCTCCTGGAAGGAAAGGCAACCACACAAACCCTGCAAACCCAGGCCCCCCAAGCCCCCTCCTCACCTACCTGCTGCCAGCAGAGCCTGGGGAGGATGAGAAAAGCAACAACAAAATGCAGCTCCCAGCAAGAAGATGCAGCACAGCTGAGCAGGGCCCAGCACCCTGTTAACCCCAGGCTGCCCCAGGGTTGATTTTAAGGGGAGCTTTTTTTTTAAGCTGATTTTAAGGGGAGAGGTCCCTTCTCTGTAGTCCCCAGCCCTGCTCCTGTAGCAGGCTGCAAAGCTGAGACCTGCAAGGGGCTTTTGGGGGTGCACAGGGAGCCCAGGAGCCTGGGGAACATGGTGAGAGCGGCCAGCACAGCCCTGCAAGGAGCTCACAGCACAAGCCTGGACACCCACGCTTCTTTATTGCTCAGAAATTAATAAATAGAAAAATAGTGCCCAGGTGGGCGGCTGCGGGGCAGCGTCCCCGTCCCCGTCCCCGCAGCGGGGCCAGGCTGGCTGCCGTGCGGAGCTGGAGCGCTCAGTCCTGCTGCCACCGCGTGGCCCCTTGCAGCCATTCCCACCCTTCCAGGGACATCCGCAAGCRCTCCGGCTCCTGCTGCCGCAGCGTGACGGGGACCCTGGGACGGGCACGAGTGGGGGGCTGCTCCCCGTGTATGTACAYGCAGCCGGGCGTCCCGCGGGCCCTGCTATCTCGGCCACGTGTCCACGGGCTGCAGGCGCCGCACGGGCACCGGGGGCCGCTGCTCCTCCGCCAGCGGCCGGGACAGAGCCAGCGGGTAGGGGTAGCCCTTGGCGTAGTCGTCACGCGGCTGCAGGTCCCCGGGGACACGGGGGGCTTCGCTCAGGGAGGACAAGTTGCCCAGGGTGGGTCCCACGGGGCAGCCGAGCCCCGGGGAGACCCGCTCCGCCTTGATGCTGATGGCCTGGGGCTGCGGGGGGCTGCTGGCGGACGGCTCGTCGGTGGGGACGATCCTGCTGCCRATCCTGGGGACACAAGGGAGTTGGGGGCACCCCATGGGGCATCCGTCACAGAGGAGCACCAGGCGAGGACAAGCCATGGGGTCTCATGCTGCTGTTCCAGCTGTGTGGGACTGAGACCTGCCAAACTCACCTCATGCACCAGCTCCGGCCCCCTGCCCCTGCTCTAACCCAGAAGCTGGGATCCCGCAGGGATGCAGCATTCCCAGCCCAGGCAGCACCCGCTTCCCAGGCGGCCTCCCACCCACACGCCTGGCACGGCTGCTGGGAGCGGAGGGGACCGGCGGGGAGGCCGCATCCCCTGGGGCAAACCCGGATTTAAATAGGCTCTGGCTGGGATGCGGCGGGCGGGAGGCTTCCCAGGGGCGGTGGGATGGGGCCCTCCCGAGCATCCCGGCTCTGTGCGGGCTCTGGCAGCGGGACGGCCGCGGGGGCCGCGATCAGGGACGTGTCCCCCCCAGTCCTTACCCCAGCGCTGCCGCGTCCCGCGGGGGCTGCCACGACGCGGCCGGGCCGGCCTGCGGGAAGGCGGCAGGAGCCTCGCCAGCCCCGAACTCTGTGCCGAGAGAGATGGAGTGAGCGGGAGCGGGGCCGGGGGAGCCAGCMGGGAGCAGGGCTGGGAGCGCYGGCCGGGAATGGGGCCGGGGCGCCGGCCGGGAGCAGGGCTGGGAGCGCCGGCCGGGAGTGGGGTCGGGAGCGCCGGTCGGGAACGAGGTGGCTCCTACCTGCGGCTGCGGAGGTGAGGAAGGGGAAGGCGGCGAGGCCGGGGGTGGCGGCGCCCGGGGCGAGCACGGGGCTCAGGGTCTGCAGGCCGGCGTAGAGCGCTCGCTGTGGGGACAGGGAGGTGTCAGGCTGCGTGTCCCCCCCGGCGGGGTCCCCAGCTCCGCATCCCCTCCCCGGGGTGCCAGGGGTAAGGATGTGGTGGGAAACCCTCGCCCGCATGGGGCCGGACCGCGGGCGTCCTGCAGCACCGGGTGCCGCTCACCGCCGCGCCGGCACCGCTCCTGCCGCCAGCCGTGCCCCCCGGGGCCTCGCYGCGGTGCCCATCGGCCCCCAGGAACAGCGGCGGGGGCGTCTTGGTGGCCAGGGCTCGGCTGAGGTGGCCCGCAGAGAAGAGCGGGTAGCCCAGACCTGCAGGGAGAGAGACAGGGGAGGACATGGGGGCCGCCGCACACCGCGGCACCTGCAAAACCCACATCCTGCACCGGGGCCGGCAGTGCCCCTGGGCCAGCACTGCCCTTCCCGGATCCGGGGCCATTCCAGGAGGCCTGAGGCTATTGCGACCGCTGGTTGGGGTGTGCAGGGCTGCAGACCTCCGGGCCTGGGCATCCACGGTGCAAACACCAGTGGCCCGGCCACCCCCGTGCCCATCCTGCTGCCCTGRGGGTTGCTCTCGGTCAAGCCCCTTGTCACTTCTTGCAGCCTCAGTGGGGTGGCTGTGGTTGGCACCGTCCTGGCCCTCGCCGCGCCGCAGGGAGCTGCGGGCGCCCGGCAGCTGCTGCGGGGCCACCTGGGCGCGCGGTGCCCGCCGTGACTCAGCACGGCGCAGGAAGCAGCTGGGGGGCGGCCGCGGCGCTGCAGCTGCCACCGCCGCTACCTGCGCCAGCCACGTGCCAGCCCCGGGGCCGGCAAGTCCCGCCGCGGAGCCGCCGGAGCAGCTTTGCATGCGGCGGCTGGGAAAGCCCCGCGGGACGCGGCGCGTCCGGGCATGCGAGGCTGGCAAGGGGCCGGGTTCTGCCCAGGGCTGCGGCTCCCGCGGCCCGGCACCCCCGGGCTCCCAGGWCCAAGGGAAGCCAAGAGGTGGCATCGGCTCGGAGCCTACCTGGCGTCAGCGGAGCCAGCGGGCGGCCCGCAGGCTGCCCAGGCTTCGGCAYAGCCGGCTTGAAGACGGGCGGGCGGCCCTGGCTCCCATCGCCCGTGGGTGCCGGGGGGCTGCCGTAGGCTGCATCGTGGCCGGGCAGCGGCGCCGGGGGCTGCGGAGCCAAGCGTCAGGACGGAGGAGCCAGACGTGGGGCTGCCCGCCCGCCAGCCCCGCTACCCGGCGTCGGGGCACTCACGTGGAAGCGGGGCCGCGCCACCGACAAGTCCATGCCCTCGTCCGCCCGCCGCGGCTTCTCCGTGTCCTCGTCCAGCTCCAGCTCCTGCTGCTCCAGCCCCTTGCGCTTCAGCGTCTGCGGGTGGCGGGACCGTGAGCCGTGCGCTCCGGAGGCGCCTCCCGGAGCCGCCACGGCCGGGATACCTCCAGGATGTCGGAGTTGGTGCGGCTCTCGTGCGGCTCGCTGTACTCCGTGTACTTGAGCAGCACCCTGTCCATGTCGGTGCTGGCGTACTGGAAGAGGCGGTTGGTGCTGTTGAAGATGATGAGGGCGATCTCGCAGTCGCACAGCACGCTCAGCTCGTAGGCCTTCTTCATGAGGCCGAACTTGCGCTTCGTGAAGGTCACCTGCGGTGCGGGGCAGGGGACCCGGCGCTGCCCCAGGGCCACCGAGCAGCCGCCCCCAAACCAACAACAGCTGCCGGGCACCCCACCACCCATGGGTGCTGTGAGACCCAACACCCGTGGACCCTGCAAGACCCTCCACCCATAGACCTTGCAATGACCCATGCACCTGTGGATGCTGCAAGACCCAGGCACCCATGGGTGATGCAAAAGTTGCTTTGCTCTCCTTTCACCCAGCCCTGACAGCACCGCCTCACGCCAGGCTCCCCGGCTCCCATCCCTACGGAGCCCCAGCTCCCTYCAGAGCGGCTCCCACCTGCCGGTTCCGCTGATCCAGGATCCGGCTGATCTGGATCTTTTTCCGGCCCATTTCGTCCCCCTGCGGCGGCTGGAGGAGAGCGGGGACAGCGGGGCCGGCCCAGCCGCAGCCTCCGGACCCCTCCGCCGGCGGCACCCGGCGCCAGAAACAAGTTTTGCTGCAAAATATCAGATGAAGTGCCATTTTCAGTGCCATTTCCCAGATTTTTGGCACAGGTTGCTCCGAAAGCAAACAATCCAGAAAGACTGGGAAATTCTCCAGGGGGAGGGAAAAAGACCCCGCCGTCCCCATCCCCATGCAGCCAGGGGCGGCATCCTGGCCCTGCTGGCCCCGTSCCTCTGCCCTGCGCCCACCTCCGAGCCCGGTCCCGGTGCCGACCCGGTTCCTTTTGCCGCCGTCCCCGGTTCTTTTTGCCGCGGGCTGCCGGGGCGGGCGGTGGTTATAAGGAGGGCGGGTGCCTGGGGGCGGGGGGCTCTCCGTGAACCCCGGGGGGGCGTTTGGGGTTGGAGGGTATTTTTTTTAAATGCTTTTTTTTTTTTTTTTTTGGTATCGCGGATAGACTAAATTTGACCCGCGGCGTTTGCTGCTCAGGAAGTGGCTCTATGAGAAGCGAGTAAAGCGAAACCACCCACCTCTCTGTGCCACGTGAGCCCGCGGGGGCTGCCACGGGCGAGGGGACAGGGACCTCGTCCCCAGTGCCCCCCATCCTCCCCACACTGGGCACAGAGCCCCTCAGGCTCCCTGAACCTCCGGCTCCATCCCGGCCCCGTCACCAGCTCCAAGGCACCGTGCCAGCCACGAGGGTCCTGGGCAAGGAYGCCCAGGAGATGCCCTTGATGAGACACCAGTGGGCCCAGGACCCCGGGGACCCTCGGAGTCACCTCGTGTGTTGGGGTGGGTCCCGCTGTGGGCTCCTGTCCCTGCATGTCCGGTCACTGCCAGGCCCCACTGCTATATTTAGCAGTGCCTGATTTTAATTTATGGAAGGAAATTGTGCCACGGTTCCCACGGCCCGGCTGCCACCCCACGTCCCCACGCATGGCAYGGGCCACGGAAAGCGCCAGTGAATCCCTGGGGGCAACCGGAGGTTTTTCCAACTCTTCCCGATGGCTGTGCGAGCAGGTGTCCGGGGCCTCGGGCTTCGCCTCCCTGCGGAATCACGTTCGGGATGCGGAAAAGCGAGGATTTCCCGGGGCGGGCTCTGCCTCGAAGGCCGGTTTGGCCCAGGGTTGTGGTGCCAGGGCCGGTGCATCCCGCTGCCCTGTGCCAAGTCCTCGTGTGCCGCCCCACGTGCACTGCTCGCCTCCCGGGGTTATTTATAAAGGTCTGCAAACCTGAGGGAGCGCCTGGGGACGGGAGGAGCGGGGACGGGCGGCTCTGCTCCCACGAGCAGGGCACGAAACGCTGCCTGTGGCCGTGGCCCCCGGTGCATCCGTACCTGGGAGGGATGGCGCCTGCAGCGCCGGCACGCGCAGGCTCCGCGCTCGTGTTCCCAGGTTCCTGCTCGTGCTCCCAGATTCCCTCTCATGTTCCCAGATTCCTGCTCGTGCCCCCAGGTCCCTGCTCACGCTCTCAGATTCCTGCTCACGCTCCCAGGTTCCTGCCTGCATTCCCAGGCTCCGGCTCAGGCTCCTGAGCTCCGGATCCCGCTGCGGGGCTCTGGCAGGTGGACTCGGGCCCGGCTGGGTGCTCTTTGCCCTGCTGATGCTCTGCAGCATCTGCACAGGCCTCCTGCAACGCGCGGGGCCGTTTCATCAGCCGCCTCCCCGGGCTGCTCGTTAGGGCCGCACGGCTCGTTAGGGCCGCTGCAGCGCCCGGGGACAGGGGCCACACAACAGCACGGCYGCCTGCACCGAGTTTGCAGGGCTCAGTCACCGCCGTGCCCAGGGCACCGTGTCCCTGTGGGCTCCCTGCTGGGTATTAAGGATCTGTGAGGGTCGCGCTGGATTTTAATCACGTCTCCCACACAACAAGGGATAAGCAGCATCCCCGCTGCAGGCAACGAGCACAGCAGCAGCACGGGCCCCGTCACGTCCCGCCTCCCAAACGCAGCCAAACCCTGCGTGGGGACGAGCAGGGCCAGCAGACAGCGTGTCCGGCGTCTTCCCCCCGCAGTGTCTAAGGGAGGAGATGCTGTGGGGCCGCTGGGCCCGGCGGGCGCTGCGGGCTCTGCCTCCCTCCCACGCGCACGTATCTTTAGCCCGTGCTCGCTGCTCCTTCGCACGCAGCGGCTCCGCGGCCCCACGGGCCTCGCTCCGGAGCTCAGTCGCTGCCCGGATCCGAGGTCTTTAGGGGCCGTTCGCATCCCAGCAGCGCGTCCCGGCTTCCTACCCAAGCTCCTCGTTTGCTCCTCATTAAGAGCCCCAATGACCCCCTGAGAGCAGCGTGTTTCCGGGCACTGAATCCGCGCTGCAAGCGGTCACGAGGGGAGCACTGGTGGCTGGAGCGCGTGCAACATGTGGGACAGGTCCCACGTCCCACCCCACACCTCAGGGAAGGTGGCTCCCTCCTTCCCACTCGCATCTGCAGGGAAAAGAGGAAGGAAAGGGCAGGTTTTCCCAGACCCAGCAAGCAGAGCTGGGCACTGGGGGAGGCACAGGGCAGGACTTGTTCCATTCCCCCCATCTCCATGTCCTCGCAGCTAAAACACTAAGGACAGACACTGCTCTCACCACACGGCCTCCCTGCAGCTCACCGCCCTCCCAAGGAAGGCATTTGGGTTGAAACAGGGGGGAAAAAAGTCCATTTTCACCAAGCAACTACAATTTTGCTGCAAATCCAAAACCAACCGTGCAAGAAGCTCTGGGCAGAGCCCGGGAGGAAGAGAGCAGCCAGCGAGCGCCCGCGCACCGAAAGCRCCGTCCCCTGCAGGCCCCGGTGCTGCCCGGGACGGCGGCTGCCGGGCGGAGGCTTCTCGGTTCCGAAATGACTGCGCAGCAGGAGAGCGCCCGGCCACGTCCCTGCGGAGCTGGGCGGCTCTTCCCCCCCTTCCCTTCAATGTCACACGGGTCTGGATGGGACCAGGCAGCTCCTGCCCAGGCTGGGATATCCCACGCCTGGGATATCCCGGGATATTCTGGGATATCTAGGAAATGGTGCATGTTTGCTGCTGGATATCTCACCCCAATTTGCTGCTCATGGGCCTGGGCCCATCGACGTGGAGTTTGGGCTGCACAGGTKGCAAACCAACACGGGGTTGGTCCCAAGAGCGCCATAATGAAGAGAGGGGAAATGCAAGGGTCTTAAATACAATCATTTCCACCCCTCCTTCCGGGTGTAGATGGTGCCCAAATGCAAGCGAGCACCTCCACGTCACTGCGGTCCTCAGCACTCTGCACCCCCTTGGCCTTTCCCCGTGCTGCACGGACCCTCATCCCAGGCTTGGAGCAACAGTCCCTGCTCTGCTGGCCCCGGGAACAGCTTCCACCTGCTGCTCTGCAGGACACACAGGGCCCAGATGCCTTTTGCATCCCAAGTTTGAGCTCTGAAGCAGATCCCTGCCCGCCCAGAGAGCGCTCAGAGCTGCCCTGCCCCTGCAAACCAAATTCCCTCCCTGCAAAACCGGAGCTGGCAACTCRGGGAAACTTTCCCTCATTAAAAGAGCGAAGCCCTGGGGACGGGACTTGCTGTCTCTTGGTTGCAGGGGACAGAAAGATCCAGCACGGGATGCACGACGCTCCCCAGAGGGACACGCGGCACGAGGAGCCCTGCCGGCTCCGGGACAATTAGGAAATCTGCTGTGTGTGGAAGAGGGAGCACGGATGGGTCAAACCCCGCTCGGGAGCAGCGGGTATCGAGCGGATATCGATCCTGCAGTTCTGCACGTGCTGTGAACTCCAGGGAAGTGCAGGAGCCCAGCGGAGCTGGCAGGAATTGGACACTGGGTCCTGCTGAACTCCATGGGGCTGCAGAGATGCCCATGRCCCTGCTGTGGGCCTAGGACCTGCCCTCCCACCAGCACCATCCCCACTAACAGCCCTCCTGCCTCGTGCCTCAGTTTCCCCTGATACACAGAGGGACAGACCAGGGTCAGGCCTCACTGGGGCTCAGCAGTGGTGGGATCCAGGGGGGCGATGCCAGGGYCAGGCCTCGTGCCTGCTGCCAACCTGCACTTTTGGGTTGAACTCAGGCGTTCCTCTTTGCGCAGACACGGGTAAAAATAACCGCCCCGAGCACAGCGCAAACCACAGGCTTTTTATAGCGCTCCCTGCCTAGACGGCGGGCGAGGGACGGGGAGAGGGATGGGGCGAGGGACGGAGCTCCCCTGGGCCTGGGAGACACAGGGTGCTGGCACCCACACAACTGGGCCAGGCCGGTCCTGCTACCCCAGCCAAGGTGTCCCAATGGGGTAGCAGCCATAGTGGGGCAGGGGGTGGGGGGCTCCCACTAGTGGCCCCCGGACCCACCAGTTCTGACWCTCCAAGGAGGAGCACGATATCCCATTGGTACCAGCCCGGGGCAAATTGCCGGTGCACAGGCAGGTGCCACCAGCCCAGCCCGGTTCCCCTTCCCCAGGTTGGGGCAGCTCTGTGCCCCAGTGCCCCTGGAGCCCCCCAGTGCAACCAAGACCCCCCTTTCCATCGAGAACACGCACCTGGACACTGTCTGTTCCTCCTTGGCAAGTCCCCGCTGACCGCGGGGTCCGGCGCTGCAGCAGACCGGTTCAGCCCCGGTCCGGTCCCAGTCGGGGCCGGGCCCGGTCCCCGTCCCGCTCTCGCTCTCGGTCCCGGTCCCGGTCCCGGTCCCGGCAGACGCCGCCGCCTCCGCTGCCCCAGCCGCGCCGCCAACATTTGCATAACTCCGCCCACCACGGACATAGATTTGCATAGCGCTACCGGGCTAGCTCGCCATTGGCGGCCGCCGCTGGCTGTTTTGCATAGCCCCGCCCCTCCCGGGGATTTTTGGCGGTTTCTTTTCGGGGCCGGTTCTCAGTGGGCGGGGGAGGTCTGGGATTCAGGGGGGCTTCAGGCTGAAATGGGGGTGATAAAGAGGGGACATGGGACATTTTGGGGTGTAGCCTGTGGGGGCTCAGCCAGCGGTGGGGATGAGTGTTTGAGGCTGGGGGGCACAGGAATAGGGAGGAGGYTTGGAGGATTTGGGGGGCAGGCTGGGGAGCTGCAGGGCTGGGGGGCAGCATGGGGGCTGTGCTGGGCGAAGTGGCACTGGCCAAGCCTGGGGTCCCACCGACCCACTCGGAGCCACCGGAGATTAAGCTGGTGCTATGGGAAAGGGGCTGTTCCCGATGGGAAGCAGTGCCGGTGCTCCGGGGCCTGCAGCACAGCACCCCGGAGCAGCCACAAGCCCAGCGCAGCCCCAGCCCCGTGTGAGCAGCGGGGCTGCCGGCTACGGCAGCACAGGGAGCTGGCAGCACCGGAACGGGGCTCCCGCGGGGCCGCCCGTGTTTACCGCCCTGCCGGGCGCCTGACGCAACCCCCGGGCTCCCGTTACGTGAGAGGCGCTGGGAAAGGGCCGCTCGGCTGCATCCCGGCCCCACGGGAGCTGCAGGAAGCAGCAGAACAGGGGGCTCCATCCTTCCCTGGGGCTGAGTGCAGGGGGGCCGCCCTGGGGCACAGGGCACTCAGGCCCCATCCAGAAGCTGGATCCACCCCAGCTCGTGGCCATGCTGACGGATGTGGCCAGTCCCAGTCCTGGGTGTTAGGACRGAGGTAAAAGTGGTGGTCGAGGCTTTGCTTGCAGGATGCACAGGCAGAAAGGACGTGACACCTTCCCTAGAGCTGCTTTCAACTCTCGTGGTTTAGAGAAGGCTTAGGAGTGCAAGTAGCAGATGTTAATTACCCCTGCTCATTATCTTAATTGATCCTGAGGAGGAAGAAGGAGGGAGAGTACAAGGAGCAGCAACATCTGTGGAGCAGCATCCAGCAAGCAGGGGCTCCAGGGGCTGTGGACTGTCCAGCTGCTCCAGYTCCCGGGTGCTGGACGTGCCAGGTGGCCCCTTGTCATCTCCAGGAGCACTCTGACCTGTGCCCCCCAACGATGCCACGGTCACCAGCTCCATCCCCTGACCTGGCTCAGGGCTGCCAGGGTTTGGCCCAGGAAAAGGAGATGCTCCAGCTGCCCTCAGCCACTGCTCCCATCCAGCAGCTCCAAAGCTTTGAGCTCCCTCTTGAGGCTCTTCCTGCCCCAAAAACCTGGGGTCAGGAGAGCCAGAGCCCCACACACAGACCAGAGACCTTGGATGGCTGCTACATCCCTCTGCTCCCCTAAATCTGGGCTGCTGGATCCCGGTGCTGCAGAACTGCACAGGGCCCCTTGCTCAGCTGGCGGTGGCAGGGACGGGGACACAGGTGCCAGCACTGGATGTGGCACCTCAAGACAAGCACCGGCATTGAAGGACTGAAAAATCCCCCGCAGCAAAAAAAATGTGAGCGGGGCTGGAAATGAGCAGGAGCCAAGGTGGAGGCGCCTGCCAAGGCCAACACGGCAGCGTCCAAAATAGCCCGTGTCCGGTTTTGCTCTGGCTGGAGCGGAGGGTGCCAGCAGGAACCACCCACGCGGGACGGGATGGGCCAGACGGAGCGCGCTGCTCCACCAGCCTCCGCAGGCAGATTCCAGGCTGGCACAGGCCCAGCCTGGAGGATCCCAGGCTGGAGCAACCAGCGGTGCCCCCAGGTCCTGGCCAGCTGCCCTAGCACAAGGCCTGGGACATGCACGGAAAACCCAGCCTGATGCCCCTTGTCTCAGGTGCAGGGGGAATTGGGTTGAGCTCTTCCCCATGCAGAGCTGGTGCCTGAGCTCCAGCCAGGCCTGGGATCCAGCCCCAGGTTCCCTGGTTTCCCAGCTCAGCACCCTTCACAGAGCAGCAGTGCAGTTGCAAATTGTTTTCCCAAGTTAACAATTGGTCTTAGACCCAGCTGAGGGCACACAGGCCAGGGTCTTGGGTGGGCCAAGGGTGCCCAGCAGCAGGAGGCCAAACCCACCATTCCCAGGAGAAGCAGCATTAGGCCATGTACCAGTCCCAGGGGAAGCAGCATTAGACCATTGCCTGTCCCCAAGGGTCCCTGGTGCCCCACGCGTCTGTCTATCTGCAGACAGAAACGTCAGGCTGTTACGTGGATGGGGCCAATTCCAGCTTCTGGCCAACTTGGAGCATTTTCCCACCGAGCAGGAAGCCTGGGCTGGTGGGAGCAGCGTGGGAAAAGGCTGGGACGCAGGGAARCGGAGTGGGCTGGAAGGGGATGGGGCTGAGGGGCCTGGCGGGACCCGCTCCGCTGCAGCCTTCACAACCGCGGCACCACCCGGGCGCCACGTGTGTCCGTGTGTCCGTCCCTGCMGCACCTGGGGGGTCCTCACAGCTCCCCCCAGCCCTGCAGCTTTTCCACAGCCCCGCGAGAGGCTCGCGGGCCGGGAGCGAACCCCGGGCGTCCCAAAGCGGCAAAGCGGGACGGGGGCAGCTCGGCTCCAGCGCCCGCGGCCAGGGGCAGGACCGGGAGGCAGGACCGGCCCTCGGGGGCAGGACCGGGAGGACGGGCCGGTCTCGGAGGGCTGGACCGGTCCCAGGGGGCAGGACCGCCCCGTCCGGGCTGCGCGGTCCGCCGAGCGGGAGCCGCTCGGGCTCTCCCGGTGCCGGTCCCGCCATGCCCGCCGCTTACCCGCAACGGACCCTCGCGGTGCTGCTGCTCTTCGGCACGCTGGCCGCGGCCATGGCCYTGCTGGCCTCCAGCCTCATCTTCCAGCTGCCGGCGGGCCGGGCCGGCCTCGGGGCCGGTGCCGGGGCGCTGCCGCCGGCCGCSGCCGCGGTTCTGCTGCCGGTGTCGGCCGTGCTGGCGTCGCTCTGCCTGGTGCTCAACGTGAGCTGCCTCCTGCTCTGCCTCCTCCACGGCTACTTCAGCACCGAGCTGTGCCGGGGACAGCCCGGGACCGAGCGGTGAGAGCTGGGGGGGATGTGGGGACAGCCGGTGGCACCGGGGACTCCTGCGACATGRGGGGAGGTCAGAGGGGATCCCCGAAGAGTGGGGAAGGTGCAGAGAGACACGGGGCTGGGGGGACTGCGGGGTGCAGGGAGGGCCAGGCCACCCTCGCAGGGTCTGTCCCCAGCCTGGGGGCTCATGTCCAGCCCCACCAGCCCCCCTGAGCTCTCCCCCGCCCGAGAATCACCCGGCACCTGCAAAACTCCAGGTCTGAAATCATTAACCCCAAGACAGGCGTTGACTTAATCATTAGCAGCACCTTTACCCTTGCAAAGGTGTTTCCGAAAGAGTCACCTGCTCCTGCCGCCCCCGGGGGCTGCTGGCTTCTCTGCAGCGGCCACCACGCTAGAGAACAACTAGTAAATGAGCAGATTTCAAAGGAAAAAGTGCTCTGGAGATGGAGRTCTGTAACTCAGTGAGGTCCCCACGGGACTATTCTAACCAGAGCCAATCAGAACTTATTTAGAGGAAATTACTACGTTGAAGCGCTTGGTTTTGCCCCTAATCAGACCAAATCCTTAATGCTCCGTGTGGAGCGGGACAGCTGGAGATGCTCCAGCAGGGCAGAAATGTCCCAGCTCAGCATCTTCCAAGCAAACAGGAGGCTCAGTGGGCTCGTTAGYAAAGGAGAGCAAAGTATTTCTGCAAAGAGGAGTAAAACTCCTCTACTAAAATTTGCTTTCTGGGGGAGCTGACCTGGAAGACCCTCCTGGCAGAAAACTCCCACTCAGCTGTGGTCTTGTCCTGGATGTGGCATCAATTTAGGCTGCAAAACTCTCCAAATTGTGAGGTTCGTCTTTGAAATTCCTTAAGTGTGAAACGGGACAAGTGATTGATCAGGTAGCCACAGTGACAGGTGGAGGGACCTTGCATGGTGGACACAGGACAGGGCCACTTCACACARCACCTCTTACACGCAGGGAAAGTCTACCCAAGAAAGCTGCTTTTCCAGCACTATTTCCAGGCACTGYTGCAAAGCCTGCGGCTGAGCTCGCGTCCCTGGGCCCTTTCCCACGTCGGGGTTGTCACAGGGAATTACAGCCCTGCTGCTCAGTGCCGCACACCAGCTCCAGCTGAAGTCCTTCCCCTGCCCCTGTGTGCCCCCCTGCTCAGGTAATTAATGAACAAAGTGGCTGCTCTTCAGTGGCAGCCAGCGTGGAGCGAAGCGGGAACCCGGCCAGGCTCCATTAGCGCCTCCAGCCACCGGCTCCCCGTGCAGCAGCCGCAGGGAGCCAGGGACGAGGGGATGGAGGCTGGAAGGGAGCCAGGGACACGATCCTGGGCCACTTGGGTCATGCCAAGGGACAGAGGGAGCAGCGAGAGGGCAGCTCCTGCCTGTGCCGCTTCCATGTTGCCCCCCGGGGCTTTTGGAGGGCTCCAGGAGGCCGTTGAAGGGGTATTTGCTTCATGTGCCTCTTTTGTTCCTTGCTTGCCCTCCACCCCCTGCAATAAGCACCTGGGCCATCCCTCCCTCTCCCCAGAATCTGGTTGCCAAAACAGAGCTAGAACCAGGCAGGAAAGATCTCAGTTCAAGGGATTTTGAAGTCGTCCCCTATTCCAGAACACAGACGGTGCCAGAGGGGTGCAAACCGGCAACCTGGCGGCTACGCAGAGCGGGATCATCTGGGTGCCCGGGCAGGGAGCAGCCCAGCTGTCTCCCAAGCCAGCACAGCCTCCTCCTTACCTGTTTTGCAGAGCGGACTGGTTCCTGCTGGACAGCCGGAGTGTCCGCCACRCTGCCCTCGGCTTGTTCTGCTGCGGGGTCTCCGTCTACCTGACAGGCAAGTGCCCCTCGCCTGGGGTCCCAGCAGGGACTGCGTTGTCACACACATTCCATGCAGGAATTTGGGAAATACCGAGTTTCTACTTACAGTCAAGTTAGTTTTGCAAACTGCCTTCCCCAGTTTGCTGCAGAGGTGCACACACCCCTTGCTCCGCTGCACCAAGCAAAGGGCAGAGGTTTAGCCCAGCTTATCCCCTGCTGCTAAGTGACACGGATGCTCCTCTGCCCTCCTTGCAGCTCTCGCCATCTACATGCTGCTGCTGTTCGAGCCGGAGGCCGGCATCGCCAGCGCCTGCATCCTCTCCTCCGGCATCGTCGTGCTGCTGGTGGCGGTGACGCACGCGCTGCTGCGGGCGTCCCAAGCCTCGCGCCGCAGCGGCTCCGAGGCCTCTCACACCCTCTACGAGAATGCCGCCGCCCACGGTGCCGAAGCCTCCGCCAACGATCCGAACAGCAAGAGCGCGGCTGCGCCTTGGCCTGAGATCCGCCGGGAATTCTCCTTCCCTCCTTGCCTGGAGCGCAAATCCCAGCTGGACTCCGCCGCCAGCAGCGAGCTGCCCTCCTCAGGGCCTCAATCCGAGAGGGAGAGCTCCAAGCTGCCCCGCATGCACAGGACGCTGTCGGCAGAGTCAGGGCTGCTGCAGCTGCAGGGCAAGCCCTGGAACGGCGTCACRCAGGAGATGAGGAATGTCCTGTCATCCCGGAAACCCGCGGCCTCSGGGAAGGATTCCACGCTGGTGTGAGGGGAGATGAGACCGCTCTGTCCCAGCTCAGCGCAGCAGGGCCAGGACTTGTGGTTCAGTAGGTCACGCCAGAACCCACATGTGGAGGAGCCTCAAAGGGGGCTGGCTGCTTTTCCATCCTCTGCCCTCCCGTGTGCTGGGACCTTGGTCCTCTCCCCAAATGTGGCTAAATTACCCTCCTGGGGAGCTCAGAGARCAGACAGAGCCCTGGACGACCAGTCTGTGCAGCCACAGCCCCATGCTCTGCACTTCTGCTGCAAAGATGCAACCTCCACTGAACCCCAAAGTGCTTGGCCGCCTGTCCCGAGCCTCCAGGATGAATACTTAAGTTRCAAGCCCTTTAAAGTGATCTCCAAAGCTCCGTGTACAGCTCTGCTTTCCACTGTTTGACACAGGATGAAGAACAACCGTTTTTTTGAGAGCAAGACCATTTCTTTTGCCTTTGAAAAAAAGCTCTAAATCTGCATGTCTTTGTTTTGCTCCCTGCCTTTTGAAACACACAGGCAGCAGGCTCCAAGACCCCCCCAGCCCAAGCGAGCAAGACGGGGAAAGCTTTAGACARAACTTTCATGCTTTTCTTTTTATTGTTCTCACTAAAAACCAAACTCAGCAACTCTGGCAAACACATGAAAAAACCTCTCCTTGCAGAATGCCTCCTGAACAAGGCTGAAGTATGTCCACTTCAGGTCCTTTTATACRGTCCTCACCAGAAGGACTTGCAGAATACTGAAAGCAAGACCTAGTTTTTTTTCCTAAGATGTTTCTGTAGCCAAGAGGTAGAAAAAAAAAAAAGTGACTCAGAACAGTCTGTCATCGGACAAAAAAAGAACAGGACAAATGCAGAACAATCTCCTCTCCCTTTTGCAGAGGGCTCTACAAAGGGACGCAGTTGCTCCCTAGAACATCCCCCAGGCAGGTCTCACCGCAGCAGCAGGACTGGCCTGCTCAGGTACAACTCCTTGGCCTTTCAGATGGAGAGGCAGAGGCATCTGTGCAGTTTCACACACGGAGCAGGTTCCTCCCTCCTCCAGGCAGCTGGAGGACATGGAGCTGCACCGAGGCCAAGGCAGAGGGTGGCCGGTTCATCTGAAATCAGGAGGTGGCTGGAGGATTCTTGGCTTGTTGGGCAACGTTGCTGTAAAGAGAAAGAGATGGTCACATCCAGCAGGCAGGAAGGGCCTTGGTAGCCATGGGGGTGTCAAGAACAAGGGCTCCCTCCAATTCAACCTCCCTGCAGGGCTGGGAAAATATGGAGCTTGTGCCATGGATCTGTGCGGAATGACTCTGTTTGGAGATGGAGGCACCCTGTTCGTGCTGGTTTTATCAGAGATGGACGCTCCAAACTGTCAGGGGGAGCACAGGCACTTGGAAGTGTCTCACTCCCACACAGGCAGACTCCAACATCAAGAAAGCTCTTGGGAGAAACAAATACACTAGACTCAGACCATCTGCTAGCGAGCGTTTTAGGAGCTGTAGCTCAATTGCAAACATACGAAAATGCATCATCTCTGCTACATCTGTCAGCACCGCTTCTCTCTCCAGATCTTTCTGGGACTCTCTCCACAGCGCGCCACACATAGGACAGCACAGCACCAAGTGCAGCCCTTGTTCTACTCCATCTGCCTTTGACATGACTAATATCTAGTGTATTACACAAACAAACAGGCCTTTTTAAATAGGAAATAAATTATTTTTGCAGTTATCCTTTTGTAAACAAGATGATTCGCTTCCCGAGGTAAACACAAGCAGGGAGCCACTGGAAGGCAAGCAGCATATGATTTAAATAAGTGGGGAATTGCATAATTCTCATCTCATAAATACTGAGAAGGCTGCCTGGCTTGTTTGTACCGGGCTGTGTTACGTGCGAGGCTCYGTGAGCCAGGGGGGTCACGCGGATTTAGAGGCAGCACCGGGCCACGGGTGCGCGCGGCCCTGGCTACCTGCGGCCCTGCGCGGCGTTCAGCTGATCCTTCACGGCTATGGCGTGTTTGAGCAGGCTGTCGATGCTCTTGAAATACACGCTGCTGTCAGTCATGTTCTTGATGGCACTGGAACACAGAGGAGGGGATGGAGGGAGGGAGAAGGACCGGTTARTCCTTTCGGGGGCATCGCTTTGTGTGCGCCCTCCCCAGAATGAGGGTAGTCCTGCCAAGGAGCCCCTCGGCGGGGTGTTTTGCACCCTCAGGCGCTTGCGAGTGGGTTTATTGCAGGAGACGGGCAGGTCTGTGTGTGGAAGCGGGGAGAGCTGGCAGGCTAATCCAAGGGAAGCAGCCCGGTTTTRTGGGAAGAGCTCAGGGAGAAGTGCCCTGCTCCAAGGCGCTTCCGTTGGGGCCCGGCTCCCTTCCCGGTTCCCAGGAGCAGGGAAGCTCGTGCCATGAGCGCTCTCCCATACCTGCAGGCATATTCCACCGTGTAGATCGCTCCTTGGCTCTGCTCCTCCCAGTTCTGCATGTCGGACTGCAAGCAGATCACAGAAGAGGGAGTGAGGCCGAGGCGGGCGCCGTCCTCGGCGGCGCAGCCCTCGGGATGCGCTCGGCCAGCCCTGCCCAAACAAGGGATGTGGCTGCTCCTCACTGGAAATTGCATTTGGACACAGCCACTGGATTCCCCATCCTCTGCAACCCGGCTTGAACCCAAGCAACAGTTGGCATTTAAAAAGAGAGCACCCAAAGGGCCTTTGAATGGAGCAGGGCGGCCCCTAAGCCTCACACGGGCTCCAGCAGAACAACTCGGAGCCCGTTCTGGCTCTGGACACAACCGTATGTGGCAGCTCCCTGGAAAGGGAARCCCAAACGAATGTGCAAATCGCAATGGAAACGCAGCTGAGCTCAGAGGTGCAGCTCAATAGGTAACTGAAAGAGCCCCTAAGCAGTCCAGGCTCTTTAAAATACATTCTCACGGGAGCCAGATCTCAAGCCTATTCTGCTGACTCTAGTTACAGGTCAGGAGAAATCCAAGGGCCTCTTGTTGTGCCTGAAGGAGGTCGCGCAAGAGCTTGGACTGCCTCCAAAATCCCTTCTCTGCTGTTCACAGCCTGTCCTGCACGGGGCCACTTCACCACAAAGCTGCAAACTACAAAAGCAACAAGTCCCTGCATGCAGCGCTCGGGGCAGCCCTGCACCGCACAGGGTCCGGGACCACAGCCCCACATCCCGTCCTCCGGGGCCCGCGCTCAGCCCCAAATCCAGCCACATTCTCCGAGTTTCAGACGGTGAAGAAGGTATTAAGATTATTTTTAATCGAGTTGCTTGCTTTAAAGGGCCTGGGGGTGACTTCTCCTTGCATTTTGCATTGCAAACTTTTTCCATCGCTTCCCTCCCGGTTTTCCCTAGGTTTAAGCCCTTTGGGAAACTCAAGGGCTGCATCTCTGGCTGGCAGACCCCTACCGAGCTGGAGTTGCTGCATGGGCCAAGCAAGGCTGGAAACCCYCAATAAACCTTGGTYCTCTTCAACCAYCACCTTCATCTCGGGACTAAATTAMACGAGAACAGATCCACACAGAACRTTCCCATTTCTTCATTTCCGAAGAACTAAACCCACCTCTGTTTAGCGCCTCAGCTCTGCTCTAGGTAAAGCCTGACACAGCGCCTCTCTCCTGTGGGTTTGCCTGCCTSGATACAACCGTGAGCCAGGCCCAGACTGCTCCTGGCAAGCAGGGGCGCATGAAATGGATGGAATGAGAGCGGGATCAGGGACAAGACAGAGAAAAGGGGCTCATGGTGGGGTTATCTGCAGCCTGGCAACGCCGTTAGGGCACCCATGTAGCCGGGTTCAACCCTAACACTACGACCAGGGCCTGGCAGAGAGGGGAACGTGCTCCCAAATGTGATCCCAAGGCCTTGGAAGAACTGGTGCTGGGGAGAAGTCACTACAGCAGCTCCGGGTCTGCTGTTTYGGCTGGGACGATTGCTTTTCGTTTGCTCCCAGCTCTTGCTGCACCAGAGCACCACAGGCAGGTGCCAGAAAGCTGTCTGCGAAGCTGAAGGTGCCCACGGTCTAGGCATAACGAAACAGGACTCAAACAGCAGCACAGAAGCAGAGAGTATTAGGAAACGCTTCCCAATGCTCCGCTGGCTGTTCCCGTTCCCAGCAGTGACTTGTGGCTACTTCACCTTGAAACGTGCTGGCCCTGCGGGGAGCAGCGAGACCTTTTTTTGCCTTTGGAGGCAATTGCCGCTCAGCAGGGACTGCCTCGAATGGGAAAGCATCAAAAAACCAAAGGCATCTGAGGCTTGCGAGGGCTGCAGTCACACGGGGCAGGGCCCTTGCCCTCGGGAGCCACAGGAAGCCACGACCTGTTTTCTCACGCAAATAAAGCAAAGAGCAGCAGCAATTTGGGCTAGAAAAGGATTCTCTGGGACAGCAACAGCCAGGAAATGAACTTAGCCGACTCGCAGAGATCTTCTCAGTTACCTGCAGAGCATTGCGACAAGCCTGCCTGGCAGGGAAGGGGAGAGAATCAGAGGTTTGGAGAGCTCTTGCCCAGCACATGCTCCACGCTCTGCATTCCCAAGCTGCCCTTCCCAAGAGCGCTCCCATCCCCATCCCAAACCACTCCTTGATGGAAACAGAGCGCTCTCCTCCACRCGACTGGTCACACAATTTGCTCCATTTCCTTTTGTTCTGGGCACATTTCATGGAATCGAGGCCATTCTGATTAAATCAAAGCAGGTGGCAGCTCAGGAATAACATTACAAGCCTCTTGTATCCCCGAGAGATGATTGCAGCATGTGTTATCCATACACATACATCTCTGCACCCAACCAGGCATACAGATTCCTATATAATAACGCTAATAAATAACTGAATAATAAAGTACCACCGTCCAGGCTGACTTGGAAGCAGGGGCTGTAAAACAGAGGTGAAAAATGGGGCCCGACAGCACATTAGCATAGACACGAGGCAGTAATCTATTCAGGAGACATCACTCCTGATGAATCCTGACCGGCGGGGCGGGGAGCAGGGCAGCAGGGCCGGCGCGGAGCCGTCTCCGTGCTCCGGAGGAAGGCCGGAGCGCAGCTGCCGGGCGGGATTCATTATCCTGCTTTGCCTCACGGCTCCTCCCGCTTGTTTCCCCGCTCTCCCCAGCTTGTTTGATGGAGGAAACCAACCCCGTTGCGGAGCCTCTCCCTCCCGCCTGCCCTAGGAGACGCGCTGCTCRTTTTACGCTCAGGCTCAGCGGCGAGGACCCAATTCCCCCCGTTTTGGGGGTGACTTTATAAAGCCCCCTCATCCCCGCAGCTCAGCAGGGCGCAGCTCCCCCAGCGCCCGTCCCTTCGGGGAATCCCGGGAAGGGGGCCCGGGACGCACCTTGTGCTGCGCCAGCTCCGGCAGGGACCGCCTCACGTGCTCCTGCAGCCGGTAGAGCGCCACGGAGGGCTCGTTGGCCAGCACGTAGAGGCTCTCCGTGAACTTGTCGGTGACTGCAACGGGAGGCACGCGGGGCTGGGGCCCGGCCCGGCCGCAGCGCCCGCCGCGGGGCACGGGCCCGGCTCCCCGGGCCGCACTTTAACGGGGACAAAACGGAACCCCCCCCCCCCCCCCGGTCCCACCGAGGGCCCCGCCGCCGCTCCGGGGCCCTGTCGCGGCCGCCCATGTCGCGACTTGCCCCCCCGCCGCCGCGCGGCGCAGGGGGCGGCCGGGCCCCTCTCACCTTTCTTCACCTTCAGCTGCATCTCCGGCTCCTCCATGATGGCGCCGCCGCCGTTACCGGCCGCCCGCCCCGCCGCCACTTCCGTTTCCGCCAGCGCCTCCTTTAAGCCGCCCCGGCTGCAACGCGCCGGCCCCGCCCCCTCGCCGCGCGGCGCTGCCTCCAAAGCGCTCCGGCCGGAAACAAGCGGGGCCCGGCGGGGGGAGCCCGGCCCGGGGCCCGCGGTTCCGCCCGGTTCCGCCCGGTTCCGCCATCGCCGCGCCATGGACGGCGCCGGCCGCGGGCAGGAGGCGGGAGGCGGCGCTCCCGCGGAGCCGGGGGGCAGCGGGGCCGCGGCGCAGGGTGAGCGGATCGAGCCCCGGGCCCGTCCCGGTCCCGGTCCCGGTCCGCGGCCCTCCCCGAGCACCGGCTCGTGTTGCAGGCGCCGCGGAGGCCCCGCCGAGAGCCGCAGGCGCCGCCCGGGAGCCGCCGAGGAGCCCCGAGGCGCCGGCCCTGGACGGTGAGGGCGGCCGGGACCCCGTTAACGCACCGGGGGCGTTTTCCCTTCAACGGGGGCGTTTTCCCCTTCAACGGGACGGGGGCAAACAGGGATGAACGCGGGCCCGGCCCCGCGGACGGGGGCTGGGGCGGCCGGGCCGTAACGGGGGTCTGCGCCCCCCAAACGGGCCGTGCCCCCCCACACCGGCCCCGGCCCCCCGCTTCCCGGGAATAGCTGCGTTTGCCCGGGATTCGCCTCCTCCCCGGGGCCGGGACAATAAAGGGCTCCGTGCAAGGTGCTTGGGCCGATGTGGCTCCTTTTGGGGCCGATGTGGCTCCTTTTGGGGCCGATGTGGCTCCTTTTGGGGCCGATGTGGCTCCTTTTGGGGCC